ATCCTCATCTTCCTTGTGACACGTGACAAACAACATTAAAGCGATTTGATTATTAAAGTGCAGCATTTGAAACTTCCTTTCAAATTAATAGTAGCTAGCTAATGTTTTGTATTACAATGCTTATTTTCAGCAAACCAGCTCTATCATCAGCCATGCACATTACAATCACTGCCCATTTCATGTTTCTAGGCAATATACACTTGATTTTTTTCCATTACCGCATTTATTTTTTTTACTTTCATGATACCAAGGACCTGCAGTACCTGGAGATTTGAAGTTCCTGAAGTTAATATTGGCCAGCACAAAGTGGATGATGGTGGGGCAGTTCCTCTGGCCGTCTTCAGGCTTAAAGACGTAGCATTCTTTCAGGCCCTCTCCTTCGAACACCGTGGGGTCTATCTTAGGGAAGGGCAGCTTGTTCAGATGGGCCCATTTCTCAGCCAGGAGAAGTTCCTGGACAAATGGTCAGAGTTTCAAAAATATCTCCAGAAATTGTGCAAAGAATTCTGTACAGTCCTACACAAAACTGTCAAACAACAGGTTTTAGGATGAGTAGCACCAAAAGTACATTCACTCTTTTAATATATAAACATATATAACTTTGCTAATACTGATATCAGAATGCTCACATATTTAATCAATTTAAAAGATTGAATGTAAAGTTCAACTCATAGTAACTTGGACAAAGAATGACATATGATGATAGACAGTAGCAGAATATCCATCCATCCATTTTCTATGACCTGTTCAGGGTTGTAGTGGGTCCAGAGCCCATCGCAGAGGCTACGGGCACTAGGCAGGAAACAACCCAGGATGAGGCACCAACCCATCACAGGGCACACTCACACACCATCCGCTCACACACCATTCACACCTATGGGCAATTTGGTAACTCCAATTACCAACTCCCTCAGCATGTTTTTGGACTGTGGGGGGAAACCGGAGTACCCAGAGGAAACCCCATGACAACATGGGGAGAACATGCAAACTCCACACACATGGAGCCACGGCAGAGACCCAAATCATGGTCCCAGAGGTGTGAGGCAGCAGTGATAACCACTGAAGCACCGTGCCACCCTAGCAGAATATCATTTTGGAAGATAATTTAGGTCAGTATTTCTTAACGTCATAATTGTTGGATGTATTAAATAAAGGTCGAGGGTGAACAGCAAAGCTATTGAAGTCATAAGTTAATCTTATGTCATAATTGATGTTGATGCATTGAGATTTTTCATCGTACAGAAACAAGAACATGAATATCGACCTTCTGCTTGTCAGATCACTGACCTCAAAGGGTGATGTGGAATCACTCTCCCTTTCGGAATAGTCAAAAGATATTATGAGGTCCACGCCCCTCTCTGGCCTGAGGATGAGCGGGTATGGTAGGTTAAAGCTAAGGCCGCTGTCCACCACATGGATCTTCTTACTTGTCAGGTCCAGAGGCTCGTGGATGGAGTTAAACTCATTGTGGTCTGTTTCCAGGATTCAGAAAAGAGAAAAGAGGGTTTATGGAGCATCAGTAAGTATGTCTCCCACAGCAGAACGTAGAGACGTAGAGCTTTTCCATGACATGAGTATAGAATACAGGGTCGCAGGTGTGAAGTTGTTAATAAAATATAATTTTTTCGATTAATCCTTTTTAAAGATTTTGAGCTGTAAAATTCACAGACCTTTTTGGCTAATATGCATTTTTTTCTGGTCTTCTAAGTTAATTTCTGGTTAAACACAGGGCTGTATCAGACCTATTGCAACACAGATTTCAGTACCACTTAAATGCGTGTCAATGGGAATATTTGCTATCTGCTGTTCAGGCGTTAAAAGCATCACTGCACCTCACTTGCCCTGATGTGGGGAGGCTTGATCTGGCAGATGCCTAATGTTAACTAGCAGCTACCTTAAACACGGTTAAAATGCCTAAAGTTAAACAGTCTGAAGTGTGGCTGTGTTTCACACAACGATTCAGTCACCAGGATGTCATGTAAATTTGTTAAGTATTTTGTATTTACTCATATTCACACATATATATATATATATACATATATACATACATACAGTACATATATATATATGTATATATATGTATATATGTATATATATTAACCACCTCATCTCTCGAAGTCTGGCACCAACCACCAAAGCAAATTCCTTGTATGTGTGAACGTACTTATAAATAATAAACTCGATTCTGATTCTGATTCTGAAGAGGTTCATGAACCATTTGCATTTACTTTGAAGCCTGCTAGTTTATACAGGCAGTTTCTACCTATCCTGCAGTCATGGTTTCCATCATCTTTCATTGCTGAGTTTCTGGTCAGAAAGACAGACTTAACAGACCCAGACCTCTGACTTTTGTCGCCTTCTTCATCTCCGGTGCCGACTCCTTAGGAGTTGAGGATTGGACAGTGTGGCTCAGCTTTAAGCCCTGCATGAAGTTGTGCACCCTGCCAGTCCGGCACCCGCGGCTTCTGAAGATCGAGGCATTGCCAATACGGGCCAGCATGCGTTGAGCCCAGTTCCAAGAGCTGGACCCCTGAATCTGAGCTGCATTACGGACACAGAAGAATAACCACAATGGGGGCCAGGAGGTATGTGCCATAAAGTACAGCTGAACAGAGACCTGCAGAGGATTACAGTCTACATCTCCTTCTGCTTCTCACCTGAACCTGCTTCTATGTCCGGAATACTATCAGACTCAAAGCCATCTGTAAAGTAAAACATTTCACAAGTTTATAAACTACAATGGGTGATATGTACAGTACATATCATGTACTGTACAAATTACCCAGACAAAAGGTCTTATACAGTACACCGACGAGCCAAAACATTATGACCACTGCCATGTGAAGTGGGTAATATTGACGATACCATGATACTGAGATCCTCAATGATATGGGTGCGGCTCCCTCTTCACAACACACATGTGCTTTTATGCTGCTGGATTTGGTTTCATTTTGTGCTTTGTCAATTGTATCTCAGTGTTTTTCATTATTTTAATTTGTTTTGCTTTGCTTATATTTCATTTTTTGTATTGCTCATTGTGAAGCACTTTGGCTACGGCACTATAGTTGCCGTAGTAAATGTGCTATATAAATAAATTGCCATTGCCATTAAACACAGAAGAAAAACAGACACAAGCACAGGATGATTACAACCTACATCTCCAGGTTCTCACCTGAAAATGGTTCCATGCCAAAGTTTTCATCTCCCTCAATACTGTCAGACTCCCAGCCGTCTGTAAAACCAAATCATTTCACAGGTTTATAAACTACAATGGGCAACACTCAGTTCATGCATTTAATACACTACATGGACAAAACTGTTGGGACACGTGAGTCAACAGTGTGTTGGCAACTTTTACACAATATGAGTCTCAGCACTCAGCAAGCCTGCACTATTGTCTGTCACTTTGTGGTTTCTGTTGTTCCTAAATGCTTCAACTTTGCAATAACACCACTTACAGTTGACTGGAATATCCAGCAGGGAAGAAATTTCATGAACTGACTTGCAAAGGTGGCATCCTATGACAGCACCATGTTTGAATTCACTGACCTCCTCAGAAGGACCCATTCTTTCACAATGTATGTAAACCTGACTGTATGACTAGGTGCTTGATTTTACACACCTGTGGCAATGGGTCTGAATGAAACACTTGTTAGCAATGATTAAGAGGTGCATCCTAATACTTTGGTCCATTGAGTGTACATACAGTACATACTACCCAGATAAATAGCCTTATTCACCAATGAACCAAAACATTATGACCTGTCCCACGTGAAGTGTATATTATTCATTATACCATAGAAACAGTGCATGTGTTGATCTGGGATATAACCAGAGGTGGAAATTTCAGGTCCAGAAAGTACAAATCCAGACCAGGATTTTGTTTCAACCAACCAGTGGAGTACTCTGTAACTGTGACTCTTTATGCTAAACTGGTTGGTTGAAACTAAATCACGGTCTGGATTTGTACTTTCTGGACCTGAAATTTCCACCTCTGGATATAACAGATAAAAAGCTGACATTAGGTACTCATAGTCAATATGGTGAATACAGATGAAATGGGCAGAGATAAATATCTGAGTGACTGACAAAGGCCAAGTCATAATGGCCAGATGACTGGGTGAGAGGGAAGCTTGAGGGGTGCCCACGGTGCGCCGTGGTGAATACCTACCGACGCTTTTCGGAGAATGGAAAACTATCGATGCACCAACAGGGAGTGCTGGAAGACCGAAGCATTTCACAGGTTAATAAATGACATACTACTCAGATAAATAGCTTTATATGTATGTACATTCAACTCCAGAAATACTGGTATCCCTCAAGAAAATGAACAAAAACATTAACATAATATAGATAACAAATACATTGATTCCAATTCATTCATTTAATAAAAAATAATTCTTGCAAAGGTGTTGGTATATCTTAGGAATATTCTGTAAAAACTAAATGTGCAAAATTTTTGGCACCCTTGAAGAATACTTTAAATAAAACCAAAGGAATTTGTGTCTTTGAGGAAAAAAACATGTGTCTGGATATTATTTTTAGCGTCTAGGAGCTTTGTCGTTGCCTATGGCCATATCCTGTTCCATTGGTTTAGACAGTCGTGTGAAAAATAAAGTATACCCTCTTTCAGTTCTAAGGTTTTACGTATTAGGGCATACTAAAAAAAATCATCTGGTCCTTAGCCGGTCTTAAAATTAGGTAAATATAAGAACTTATTGTTTCCACAGGAATTAAGAGGGCAGGTAGCAGCTAATAAAAGGCACTGGATTAATTAATTTATCATCAGCAAGTCTGACCACCTCTATAAAAGCAGTAGTTTTGGCAGTTTTATTGGTCTGGGGCATTCAGGTGTGTGTTAGTTCTAGAGTTCACTGCATGTGCGTCTGACCTTGGTCCAGTTCATTGTAAAAGTTTTCTCCTCCCACCATAAAGGTAGACTCCAAGATTTCTGTGAAACCAAAACATTTGAGGTTTACACAGGTCAATGGAGAACACTCAGCTTATGCATGTGACATACACATACTACCCAGATAAATAGCTTTATTTATAACAAGTATGTGTATTACAGTACATCTGCAGAGAGAGACATGCACACATATCTCCTTCAGACTCTGACCATGGCCATCTCCATCTTCCTCGTTATCTTCGTCTTCTTCCACAAAACAGTCAGAAACCCAGTCTTCTGTAAAACCAAAACATTTAACAGGTTTATAAAATACTATACATACTATAAATACTACTTCACTTGTATCCCCCGGACTCCCCCAGCACCCCCCATGTAATCCCTACTCCTCCCACACCCCACAACCTGTACAGTTTCTAGAATTACTGGATAGATCAACTGGAAATGTAGAAGCCAATAAATGTGCTTTCATTTTATTGCTCTGAGACACCTAATTCTGCACCTTCAGCTATTCATTACACATTTCCCTACCAAGTCGGCAGTTAACTATATTTCTTTGTGTATGTTTTAATGTTCATGTCATAAAATGTAATTTATATTATTTATATTCTTTATATGCCTCAATTATACTCCATTATTACTTTCTCATTCGCACTATGACCAACATTTTCTGTGTTGTAACTGTAACAGACACACCAATGGTAAAACTAAGTAACTACCATAAAATGTTAATCAGACACACATTCAGACCCACTGTGATTTTCTTCTGAAATCAAATGCTACTGCTACCAAGATTGTTTTTCACTGTACACACACAAGCTCCAGTTAATGGCAAAAAACTGGCCCACAGGCACACTGGGTTGTACATAAAATCTGTATAATGTACCAGATCCCGAACTTGACAAATCACCAGATCTGCGCCTGTTCTTTCATGTGCTGAACAGGACAAGGGTTAAGTTATATGATAAAATTCCCCCACAAAAAATTATGCATAGTGCTGGGGGGGGGTTCACCCACGGTAAATTTCGCTAAACGAAATTGTCACAGTATCAATAAAATACTACCGCAACACCAGCCACACCTACGCCACACACTCTCCCCACCTCTGCAAAGGTTCTTTATTAAAAGCTTAAGCTATATTCCCACATGATACAATTCACCAACCAGACAGCAGACTGCTATAGATATAATTTGCCAAGTCGGGGGACTGGGGATGAAAAAAAATAAGAACTTTGTTTTTGATCAGTCAGAAAATCATCTCACACTCCACAATATGAGAAGCATTGACCTGTACAGTGTCTCTGGGAAGTTTGAAAAACACCCACAGAATACATTTAGATGGCTGTGTTGACAAGCTGGATTCTGCAGCATCCCTCTCCATCCTATAATGCCATCTTGCACTGCTGCCTTAATTTGGGGGTGAAAATAAGCGTCCTTTTCTACTCCCTTGCAAATCTGCCATTATAATAGCAAACCACCAAGACACAAGACCACCTGGTAATGAGAGATGACACTCTGATTGGCTTATAGCATGTGATGCCCCAAACACACCCATGACTAATTATGAGACTTAATGCATCATGGATCATGTGCCTGGTGCTGTGACTATTTTTCTGACATTAACAAAAGTGGGCTTGCCACACCCTAAAAGAACATGCGCAGAGTGTATGCTTTTGTTTGTTAAAACAGGGCCCTATGTGTTTATGCGTGTGTATATACACACACACACACACACACCCAAAGCATGAAATGCCTCTTACCCTGCTTCTCTGTCACGGTGATCATCCCACCGCATGGCGATCCCATGAGTCGACTAAAGAGTATGGAGAAGGCGCTGCCCCAGAGCCCTGCAGGACACAAACATCCCATAACACAACGGCTTCCGCCAGTCTGACTCCCATCTGAACTTGGTGAGGAGGCAGTTGTTTCACTCGAACACTAAGGCACTAACATGCCAACTCGAAAAACACCTTAAAGTCAATGCAGAAGGCAAATGAAGAAGGATTTAAATAAAACTCTTTGTATCAACTTTTTAAAGTATTTATGAGGCTTAATTAACAAATAATCTTTGTACAGTTTACCCCATTGGATATTCACCTATTGACAACTAACTGCATACTGTCATGCCCCCATCGTGAGAATGCAGCGGCATCAGCCCCACCTGGGTGGACCACCTGCTCCATTCCGTCTCACCCTGTTCTGCCTCACGTTCTGCGTGAGGTATTGCTGACTGCAGGTGAAACATACTCAGCGTTCCTTTCTCTGTCCTCTGTTTAGCCCTGATATGTCCTGCCTGCCCTCCCTGTCCCGATCCCAATCCTGTTCCCTTCGAACCTTCGCCGTGTGCCTCTGTCCTGAGTGTTCAGTGCAGGACTGATTCCCCAGCTTCTAGTTCCCCATGCACTGCGACCCCGACTCTGATTCTACCTGCGGATTCCAGTTCTGTTTGACTATGTCCTGAAATAAAGCCCCGTGCATTGCATTCTGGGATCCTGAGTTTTATTACCATACTTCACCCATCCCACACACACCACAACTTAATATAACAAGACAGTGGGACAGTCTGCATCTCTTACACCATGTGGGTGCGCTGTTAGCTTGCTTACCTCCTAGCTCAGTATGCAGTTAAATATTTCTAAACATACCTGTAGTTAACGATAATTTGTCATGGATCATCACATTTCAATAGGTTACAGTATGTGTGATTAGAAACATACATTAAGCAGACAACCCACTTTCAATGGGTTTTTCATGTTTTAATGGATGGGGATTGAGAGAAGCTTAGAACTTATTCTGTAATTGTACAGAATAAGTGCCTGTCTCTATAGCAAGGGCTGCTTTCGTCAACTCTCAGAAGTATCTGAATGATTCTATTAATTGTTCTCTTCCTCTCACATGAGGACAAAGTACAACCATCTTATGGGCCTATAAGATAAACCCACCACACATGGGAGTGATGAGTGCTCCTGAAGAACGAGGAACCCCATGCCCCCACCTGGAGTTGGAGAAAGTGCTCAATGATGCCACCCTCTCAGCATCTCTCCCAATCCTGCAGGAACCACCGTGTCTCTTACCCATGAGGAAGTGAAGGGGGCTTTCCTCAAAGCGCTTCACCACTGATCCCGTGAAGAACTTGCTCCCAAAGAGATCAGGAGTCATGAAGGTTCCATACTTCGGCATCCCAATCTCATAAGGGCTGAACTCCACCCAGTCTGCCCAGCCAAAGATGAAATGCAAAATACAAAATTCATGGGAATGCATGTTTTTGCAAAACAATATGCTTGTTTACTTAAAGGACCTGAATGTATTTAATTTTTCGGTAGGGCTACAGTAATACAGGTCATTTCACCATGGACATGCATATTGAAGAGCTTCATGGAATGGACTTCCATAGCTGAGCAGCTACATGCAAGCTTCACGTCACCAAAAACAATGGTAAGCACTGGATGGAGTTGTGTAAAGCACGCCACCACTGGACTCCAGAGCAGTGGAAACGTATTCTGTGGAGTAACGAATCACACTTATCTGTCTGGCAGTCTGTGGACAAGTCTGGGTGTGACAGATGCCAGAAGAACGTTACCTGCCTGACTGCATTGTGCCAACTGTAAAGTTTGGTAGAGTAGGGATTATGGTAAGTGGTTGTTTTATTCAGGGGCTGGGCTAGGCCCCTTAGCTCCAATGAAGGGAACTCTTAATGCTTCAGCGTACTAAGACATTTTGGACAATTGTATGCTTCCAACTTTGTGAGAACAGTTTGGGGAAGGTTCTTTTTAGTTCCAGCATGTCTGTTCCCCAGTGCACAAATCAAGGCCGATAAAGACATGGTTGGCTGAGTCTGGTGTGGAAAAGTTGACTGGCCCACACAGAGCCCTGACCTCAACCCCATCGAACACCTTTGGAATGAACTACAACAGAGTTTGGGAGCCAAGCCTTCACTTACAACATCAGTGCCCAACTTCACAAATACTCTTTTTGATGAATGGGCAAAAATTCCTACACACTCCAAAATCCTGTGCAAAGCCTTCCCAGACGAGAGGCAGCTGTTACAGAAGAACTCCTTATTGATGCCTAGAGATTTAGAATGGGATCTCATACAAATTCCCGTAGGTGTAATGGTCAAGTGTATATATTTTCCCTACCAGGGAATAAAATTAACATTACATTATATTACATTCCATACTGTAATAAATATCTGTTTGATTTTGACAAAGTAGAGTAAAAGTAAAGTGACAGCCAAGCCCATTTGCAGCCACACAGACAGACTCCGTCACATACCTGCAAAGCTGAGCGCTGATACATCAGGCTTGACGTGCAAACAGGTGAAGAGGGGCAGCGGGTTCTGGGCATCATCCACCTTCTTCGCCATCTGGCTCAGCTTCATGTCCATACACTGGAAAGCAAAGGGTGCTGCTCTCAAAAAGCGGATCCATGTTTCGATATGGTTCACATACAATAAATGCAAAACAGTTTGTGGATCTATCCTCCATTACAGGGTAAGGGGGAGCCCAGAGCCTACCCAGGCAGGGGGCACCCTGAATGGGAAAGGACTCCCCTGTTGGGCACACATACCAGGGTTATTATCATTACCGAAGACTATAACATCAAGAAAACATTTTCATAGTGTAAAAGAAATTTGTGACGGCTAAGAAAGATTTGTGCTTATTAACACAGCTGGAATGCAATAACTCTTGCTGGGTAAAATCCTACCTAAACTATGTGGTAAAACTATGTGCCTTTAGAACAGGGGGCAATCTTATCTGCAAAGGGCCGGTGTGTATGCAGGTTTTTGGGATAACCTTTAGGTCAGCTGTTCAAACACAGGTTTGAGGACTCTTCAGCCAATTAGTCCTCAAATTAGCAATCTAATTAGGGAGTTACAGTGAAAACCCATATACACAGAAGCCCTTTCTGGATAAGATTGCCCATCCCTGCCTTAGAACAATGTTGTAAATTGCCCTAGTTCCACTGGGAGTAATTACCTGCTCGGTGAATTCCACCGTACCTACGTGCTTAAGGAGTAGTGTCATGAATTGCCTTGCATAAGAGTGTCTTCTTGCTACTCCCAGTCCTCTGCAGCTGTGATCATGAAGACTAAGTGGCTATGCTTCTTCCTTGCTTTGACTAGCTACCCCCCTAAGCCCCCACCCTTTATGGTGGGTCAGGCAGCATTGCCTTCTTGTAATCAGACCCAGGCACCATCTTAAGCATGTAGGCCTCAGTTCAATACTTCATAAAGAAGGTCTGTCTGAGGTGTTGGAATCTGTCCCTCCAGGACCCGATTTGGGGAAATATATCATGTACATGAATATGCAGGTACTCAACAGGTGAACTGAAACACTATTTAATTATGACCATGAGATCGACCTAAGATCTTAAACCTGTTTGGCAAAAGGCTCTAAAAACAACAGCCTGACAACCACTACTTGTATGCCTTAAATAAAATAAGACAAACATTGCAAACTATGATATTTTAATCCTATGAAATTCTGGCAAATTTTTAAAGCTAAATAAACTTAACATCAGCTTCCCTGTGAGACGCTAGCTGAATGTTCTGATTTTAGCTCTGAATTCTGCAACTCTATGCAATGCCACAACCGAAAATCTTGCTGTTTCCAAACAGGAAGGAATATTATAGGTCTCTATTAAAATCTATACTCATACTATTCTCCTTTCTGGGTAGCAAATATGGCATGCGTTAATGCAATCAAAGAAATAAAGCATTATGACTCTAAAATCAACACAATGCATTAGTGCTATTGACACTTAAAGCACTAGTAACACTGACATACACAAATATACATACTATGGATGATTTACAGATACCAATTCATCACATCTTTGGACTGAGGGAGGAAAGTGGAACACCTTGAAGAATTCTGTGAAATACACGGAGATCATGCAAAATCTAGCTGAGGGATTGAAAGTAATTCCCTTTTGAGGTCTTGAGTATCTCTATTCACTGCCGATCGCTCCTCGGTCAAGTACTTGCCCCTCAAAAAGTGACTGCACAGCCCTGCCTCTGAGCCACTACGGCATTCATAAATGTAAGTACAGACAGAAATACAGCTCTGGGGTGTGTGTCAGCTGTAACTCTACCTTCAGAGGAAGGCTATTCTTACCCCGGGGATGAGCGCCTTCCCAATGAACATGCCGAAGATGTCTGTGAAGCCGACGGGCTGCCCAGCGGCCATCTTAGATTGCAGCGCGTAGATGTACTGACTCACATGCTGTAGCGTTAGCAATCGCAGTGGTGAGTTGGCCAGCCTCTTCTTCAGCTCCTGGTTGATCTCACCAGGGCTCTTGGTTGGAAAATCCGGGTGGGAGTACAGTGTGGACATGCACCTGTAGATCCAAAAACTTCTTTCAGATGGGAATTTTTTGGTCGATTTCTCTACACGGTTTTGACAAGTTAAACAAGTTGTTAGATTAAATTCATGTGTTTGTAGTCTCTCAGTTGATCATGGAATTTAGAACTATCCCAAATAAGTTCATCCAGATATGCCACTTATACAGACATTTAGCATCTATGAGATCGATAGTCGAATCTCGGATTCAGGAGGAACAATGCGGTTTTTGTCCTGGCCGTGGAACACTGGACCAGCTTTATACCCTTGCAAGGGTACTGGAGGGGGCCTGGGAGTTTGCCTATCCAGTCTACATGTGTTTTGTGGATTTAGAAAAGGCTTACGACCGGGTTCCCTGTGGTGCTCTGTCGGAGGTGCTTCGGGAGTATGGGGTATGGGGTCCACTGTTGTGGGCGATTCGGTCCCTGTATGAACGGAGCAGAAGCTTGGTCCGCATTGCCGGTAATAAGTCGGACGTGTTCCCAGTGCGGGGTGGGCTCCGCCAGGGCTGCCCTTTGTCATCGGTCCTGTTTATAATATTTATGGACAGGATTTCTAGGCGCAGCCAGAGTGTTGAGGGTGTCCAGTTTGGTGGCCTCAGGATTGCCTCGCTGCTTTTTGCGGACGATGTTGTCCTGTTGGCTTCATTTGCTGGGGATCTCCAGTGACCGGTTTGTCGTGGCTAAGAAAGAACTGAGCCGGAAAGCAAAGCTCTCGATCTATTGGTCCATCTATTGGTCTCTACCCTCACCTATGGTCATGAGCTATGGGTAATGACCAAAAGAATGAGATTGCGAATACAGGTAGCCGAAATGACGTTTCTCTGCAGGGTGTCTGGGCTCTCCCTTAGGGATAGGGTGAGAAGTTTGGATATCCGGGAGGGTCTCAGAGTAGAACCGCTGCTTCTCCACGTTGAAAGGAGCCAGTTGAGGTGGTTTGGACATCTGGTGTGGATGCCTCCTGGGCGGCTACCCGGAGAGGTTTTCCGTGCATGTCCTACAGGGAGGAGGCCCCGGGGCAGGCCCAGGACACGCTGGAGGGATTATATCTCTCGGCTGGCCTGGGAACACCTCGGCGTCCTCCCTGAGGAGCTGGTACAGGTAGCTGGGGAGAGGGAGGTCTGGGTATCTCTCCTGAAGCTGCTACCCCAGCGACCCGAACCCCAGACAAGCAGTAGGTAATGGATGGATGGATCATCAGTTACCACAATGTTATGAAAACCATAACAGAAGCACCTATTGTGTATTAGTATTATTGGATATAGATTGTGTTACTATGAAATACTTGTAGCGTGTTTCTTAGTTATATGAGGCACTCATGAGTGCCAAGAGAATCTCTTGGATCACAGGCTGTCCTGCTGTATCTGGGGAGTCTCAACCTGCCATAAGGTCCGGGAGGTAGAGCACTTCTGGTTAGTTTACAGCTGTACAGCAGAAGACAAGCAGTGAAGCACTAAGGAGGCACTTGGCTAGCTAAAATTCCTAGGGCACCATGCAGTGACAAAGAAGGATTCCTTCCCCTGATCTCTCCCATTTTCCTTTCATTGTTGTTCATGACACTCACCAGGTGGATCCAGAGAGCCCAGCTATGTAGGTGGTACAGTCCAGAACTCCAGACTCAAAGAGAGCTTTCATCACGCCAGCAAAGCCCACCATGGCCCGGAATCCACCTCCAGACCCCATAACAGCAATCACTGGCACCTGGACAAAAAAAGCAGTTACCAGAACACCAAGTACAGCATCACTAGCTATAAGATAAGCCTAACCCTAACCTAAATCTATAATCAATATGACCTTACCTGCTTCTTTTTACTTGTCTTAATCAAACTAAGCATTCTGCATGGCAATTAATTGTCTGATTAATGACAGTCAAGTCAGAATTCAAAGCCCAGATTTTCAGATGTAAACCCCAGGGATTTTGGTTCAGATGTTATTCCAGAGTCAGACACACAAATTAGAAACAACTTGCTGAATCTTTCTTATTTTATGTGTCTATATTTTTTAATTGTTGGCATCCAGAGGTGTACCAGGGAAAATGTGCTGTGACTTGGGTGAACTCTTCACAAAAAGGTACTCAAGACACAAGACCAGAATAATTAATGCGCAAAAACGTAAATGTCTGGTCTGGTGGGGATAGAAACTCAGAGACCCAGAAACTGTAAAACCAAGGATTTATTAGAAAGATCAGGCAAATAGAACTGGAATCGTCAGGCTCGTCACATGGTTGCAGTTACGTATCCAAGAACTGGGGAGATCAATCCTATGGAGAACTGGGGATAAACACACAAGGCAGGTCCAAAGGAAGCAGGAGCGAGGAAGGAAGGATATGGCAGGTTAGGTAGGAATCGGAGAAGACGCGGGACAGGGCTGAAATGTTTGGTCAGGCTTATGGAAAGCATATAATAATGCGAGGGCAGAAAGGATTTTAAAGGGAGCAGAGCAGGTGATGTTTGCTGCTATTTGTCAAGCCCCGCCCCCGATGGCTGCCCCAGGGACAAGGTGCTGGTCTGGAAGGGTGGACCTAATGGAAGGCTGCAATCATGGACGGGTCGAGCACATCCACAGCCCAGGAGCATCCCTCAGGGCAGTAGCCCTCCTGGTCCATGAGGTACTGGAGTTGGCCTTGACGTCATATGGTGTACACCATCTCACCATTGGGAAGAAT